ACAAAACGGAAGCTGCAAACAACATCTCAGCACCAGCGAACACTGTAAGCGAAGTTCACCATGAAGGTGGTGCAGACACTGATCTCGATTGTACCATCAAAAACTACAGCAGCCCCGAGAAGCAAATGCAGACAGATGATCAGTGGGTAACGAAAATAAGCAATCGAAAGAAACATAGTAATATTGATGGTAGGCAAACGTCTGTCACCTGTAGCCAGGCTGCATCAATAGTGGTGAGAAAAGACGTAGCCATTGCTAAACACGACAAGCTCTCCTTAGACTCTAACATAATTGTTGGAAACTTAGAAGAGTCCAAAGAATCTGATCCCGTGAAAAGGCACGATCACGACCTTAAATTAGTGAGTAGTACTATAAGGAAGATGCTCCCAGAGAATTTCCCTGGAGTATCGATTAAAAAGCTGATTAGAATAGGCAAAAGAGATGATGAATGTTCTAATCAGAGAAGGTTGCTTAAAGTAGTCTTAGGTTCTCCTGATGAACGGAATCATCTACTGGCTAATGTACACAACCTTTCCGGGTCAGGAATTTTAGTCAGACCTGATTTATCTCTTGAAGACAGACTTAAACGAAAAGAAGTTTTGTCCCAGCTAGAAACAAGACGTAAAAATGGTGAGACTAACCTTAAACTGGTGGGTTTTCAAATAGTCAGGTCTTGGAAACGTATGATTCCTGCTTACTGTTTGCTGATAACATCAAGATATGGAGGGCTTTACACGATGACAGTGATCAACTTGCTTTGCAGGAAGATTTAAACTTGTTAAGTGATTGGTGTAAGCACTGGGCCTTGGAGATTAACTTAAGCAAGAGTGTAGTTATGCATGTATCTCATAGTCACGTGCACAATTACTCAATGAATGGCATTACTCTCTCAGTGGTCACTGAGTACAAGGACTTGGGAGTGGTTGTGCAGCATGACTTGAAAACAGCAACAAACTGTAGAGCTGCAGCCACTAATGGTTTTCGAATATTATGGGCCATACGCAAGGCTTTTGCGAATTTTGACGCTGAAATATTTCGTATATTATATCCGACTTATATCAGACCTCATTTGGAATATGGGATCCAGGCAGCGAGCCCGTGTTTCAAATACGAAATAGACTTATTAGAAAGGGTGCAAAGAGTAGGAACTAAGCTAATAAAGGGTTTCTCAACCCTCTCATATGAGGAGAGGTTAAGTCGACTGGGTTTATTTCCACTGTCATACAGACGACTTAGGGGTGACCTAATACTAGCATACCGTATCCTAAGAAATGATTTTGGAGCAAATTTATCTAATTTATTTCTTCCTTCTGGCACCGACCGATTGCGAGGACATCACCTCAAGGTTCAAAAACCACGGTCGAATCGTCTGCGTTTGGAGATCCGTTTTTTCGCATCGGATTGTGAACCACTGGGACTCCCTACCGGAACACGTCGTATCAGCGCCATCCGTTGATTCATTCAAGGCGAGATTGGACCTCCTGTGTGTAACAAATCGAAAGGATTAACACAGGCGTATAGCCTACTATCCTAAATAAATTGTAAACTGTAAACGGTATTCCTTATGTCGCTCTACTTGGGCTTCAGCACCAGCTAAATCATTTGCCAAATCATCCGCCAATATTAACGTCTTCATGTCATTCATCCAGATACTCAAGTCTCTCCACTCAGTCAAAAAGTGATGCATCTTGAATGACTCTTCCAGTTTACCTCTCCTATCTACAGCCTGACTTTTCAGCTTATCCCATGCAGTAATTAAGGCGTCATACTTGCCTTGTATAGTGTCTTGGGAATCAGGGTGCTTCTGTGCAGGCGCCTTAGCATTATCTCCAAGCTGAACAATCTTTTTATCCGGGGCAGTCCAATCCCTTTCTAATGCTTCGTGCTTCCTTTGTAAGGCTTGGACTGAGGCAAGATCATGACCACAGTCCTCAATGGATAAAGGAATGAACTTTTCATTCACCCACGATATAGCTTTATCTGAGTCTCAAAAGAAGCGCTGTATCTCATAGGCTTCCAGAAGCTTTTCTTGTCGTTTTCTGGCCAGATCCTTCAGACGTTCTAGAGCTTCGTGGACCTCTCTGGACTTTTCTATGACTAGAGCATCCTCAGGAAATTCCTCTTTTAGAAGTTCATATGCCTTCCGATAGATGTCTTCGACACGACTTTCTTGATACTCGAGATCCTTTGTAGACTCATCAAACCCTTTTTGAAGTGTCTCAACTTCTTCCAAGTCTTGACCGAAATCCTCTGATGTTACGTAAGTTTCTTTTTCATGTATCCAGAAAAGTATCTCCTCGACTTGGCATAAAAACTGGACAAATTTAAGCGTTACGTTAATAAAACGTGATTTTTATCTGAAAATAGCCATAAGCCTTTCCCACAGGGCATGCAATTCATCAAGACGGTTTTTGATAATCTCTGTTGCGTAGTGCCCCTGACCAATCATTTCTTCTCCCGCAGAATCCAAAGGTGACAATGTTTCAGTATGAACTGTTACTTCGAACTCAAAAGCTTGATGTTTCTGCTTTTTCGGCTGAAGATTACTGAGTTCTTTAAAATCCGAATTTGCATATGTTTGCAGTTTTTCATTGATCCAACACTCAAGTTCATCGGCATCCCTCTTAAAATATTGATATCTTTTAAGCATGTTCAGAAACTTAGATATAGCTCTGGCGAACTCATCGTTAGGAGATACAGCGACTTTATGAGAAGTAGAAGGTTCGTAAGGCGACTTACTGTGACCGGAATATTCACGACTAGCTTGTCGTAATCTTCCAAATTCAATTTCTTTCTCTATTTGGACTATGCGCATTTTCGCTAGCTCCAGTTCTACCATAGAGTGTGATTTATAATCGTTGCTTCCAGGGAAATCAGCTTCATTGCTCTTTTCTAACTGCGGAGTTAACGTCGGCATAAATTCATAATTTTCGTCTGCAATACTGTTCGAAACTTTGTAGGATTATTTTTGCCTACAGATTTAGTCCTTCCTCAGTACTGACGACACAGAGTCTTGGCTTAACTATAGTTAAAAACAGAATGACTTGACTTAAACTTTATCTGTTTCATAAAATAAATCATACAATTACACCAAGAAAGTTATAAAACTCATTGTCACTTGGGAAAAGACAAAAAAGTACCGAACAGTATTGAGGGAATGGACAAAATGAACAGTTAATTAATAACATGTACACAAATAGAGTGACAGAAAACAAAGAACACTCGAGGTCACATCACGTGGTGTGAGTTACATTAAATTAACCAATAATCACGACAAAAGGGTCACATAATATTGATTAGCTGTCTATCATACAGTCTATCTATCTGTTGCCATTAACACTCCCCGCAAACGATCACCACGTTGACTTTTCGTACCTGGAACCTTCAAGTTGTCGGCTTCTTCCAAGAAACATACGCTTCTTATATCTCGTTCCCCTTCTTGAGTTGTACTTTTCAAACACACTGTCTTGTCGCGGCCATCTTGGTCATAGTACACCTGCCTATCTATAGCCTTTGGCCAAAGACCTCTCTGTGTGTCAGCACTGTTAACCAGGACGAGGTCACCAGGTTGTAGGTTACGCTTTGTATCCAACCATTTAGATCTTGCTTGCAGCATCAAAAGATATTCACATGGGCATCTATGCCAGAACAAATCAGTCAAATGTTGTGGGAGTAGTTGACTATTGTGTTGGAAAAAAGCACATCCATCTATAGCATTTGCTTAATCTTTGTAATATTGTAATTTTCTTAAGAGTTCACCAATTGCTGAACGAGCCACAGTTAAAAGCCCTTTTGGATCCAGGGAAATACACAAATCAGATGCATCGTCCTCACCAACTACTTCATTTGTACGTACCATAGAATCGTCAGCTTCAATCAAAACTAGCAGAATCGCATAACAAGCACAATAATGTGCTTGACACCATGATCCAGTGTCATCAGCATTTTCTGCTGGAGAATAAAACTCCATGGAAGTTACAACTGAAGGAATCATTGACAACCAATCAATATAGACTACACCTGGGACGTCGCCTTGAGCACAGTCGGTATTCAAACCGAATTGCTCCAGAACAAGAGGTAAATCAGATAAATTAATTCCAACGCACTCAGCTCGACATTTATCTTTTGCAGATGAAAGGTTTGAAAACTTGCTGTCATACGTTTCTCCTGCTTCACACCAACCTTTTACAGGACCTCCATTTATGACATATTCAGTAGTTTTCGTGTGGAAATTTCGTTTTCCATAACAATCGCTGCGAAACAGTTTACCAGAACCATATCCCATCAGTTCATGAAGTCCAACTTGTAATTCAAAGGAACTTTCAGCATGTTCCACATACATTTAATAATAATAATAATAATAATAGTATATTCTCATTTTTTACATGAGGGACACCAGTTTACAGGCATCATCACTTCGATAAATTACACATACGATTAGTAAATATAGTTAGTAATGATAATATAATAGGGTACATATTTGTTCATACAAATATAGGAAAAACAAGTTCTATAGGAATGGATAAGAATTATTTAAGTTACATATTTAAATTACATGATTTACGGTTAAATAACATGGTTGCTGTCATTTTATCTTTAGTTTGTGGGGAAAATCGGATAACTGGTGATTCAATGGAACACACCAACAAATATAGAGATATTGACTTCGCATTAACAAAAAAAAACCCAAGTATGCGTTGGATGGATTACATATACTTGGGAAAATAAATAAAGCTTGAAGTCAATTCCCTCATAATACAATAAAATGCGTCTTACAATAATATATTCCCACTTTATGCACATGAGGGACTCCAGTTGACAGGCATCAACAATATGGTAATAATGCACACATGGAGTAAACATGTTTAAAATTTTCCACTAACACAAAATATATATACAAGGTAAGATAATGAAATATTGACCGTAAGTACACTCTGCATAAGTTAAAACAGTTTATATGGCATAATCCTAGGCACAATTATTGTTTGAATTTGTTGAACATGAGCGAAACAACTGAGTGTTGCGTTACATTCGGTCGATATGGTGGTTTAGTCACAAAAGTATAAAAATGACTTATAAAACGTTACTCAGTTTACCGTAAACGATGTTTTAAGCAATATAAACTGCAAACGGCTCACCACAGCAGTTATTATCCAGTTAAACATGCAGAGAAGTAATCATAATTCAGCAACTTGTGAATTTTTATTCTTTTCTGTCTGGAACCTGAGTAACTGCGAACCAATCCATGCAAAAATGTCGAAAGAGGCATGCAGGAGCAGAATTTTGCCATTGAATGAGTCATTGGTATCTGAGATGCAGCTATCAGCATATTTTCGTCATTTCATAGATATCCAGATTTATTGACGCTGTATAGGTAGTGATTTGGATTTGTCATCATGATCGACATATGGACGAATATTCCAAATCGGAATACAACTTGTTTGCCTTTCGGATTTACTTAATTACATCGCGTGTTGGGTTTGATTGCTCTGCGATTTTGATATATTCCGCGGTGTCGCCGTGATTATGGGAAGTGTGCATATGCTTTAAATGCATTACTTTGTTGGCTGCAGTCCCCACTGAGTGTATACAACGGGAACTGTGGATTTATGTATTTGCTCATAACTGTGGATAAAATATCGCCGCATTCCTTTTGGAAAGGAGACCAGTTGGTGGATTATAAATAATGTCCAAGTAACTTATATCCTTCCATGTGATGTTGTGGTAAGTCTCGACCTTGTTTTCTCATACTTCATTCATATGTTGATTATGGTTCAGGCTTTGTATCAGGTAGACATAATTCGATCGACTCTTATTTGTATGAGTGTTATTTTCATGACTGCTGCTTGTTTGTCTGAAATTATAGATAAAGGCAAAAGAAACAACAGGTGTAGTCTCTAAGTTCATACATTAAATGGGCCTATAATTTCTGAAGCTCTTACATGGGAATTAGCACTGGTATCACTTACAAACCCACTTAGTGTGTCATTAAGAGCTTTTTCAAAGGACACTAGTGAGCTTGCTAGTCGCATTTCCTCAGGTAGTTTGTTCCATATTTGGGCATACCTAATCATGAAAAATTTTTGCCTGGTGGCTGTTTTACATTGTTCTATAGCCACCGTACCTTGAGTGTGTCTAAGGTTATATCCAGTGTCTTCTGAAAACCGAGTACAATTAGTAGGGGTATGCACTATGTGGTTAAGTAGTTTATAGAAGAGTACCAGATTTAGCCGCAGTCGTCTTAACCATAATGTTTCTAGTCCTAGAATTTCACATCTGGTAGAGTAGTTTGTGCCGTTTTCAGTTCCGATTACTTTCAGCGTGAAGTACCTCTGTACTCCTTCTACTTTTAGTTTGTCTTCTATGCGTATACTACTAAATATGAATGAACAATAGTCTAGGAGTGGGCGCACACAAACCTTGTACAGTAGTATTCTGGATTCACTTCTGTAGAAGTTCCTGAGTAGGAAACCAATAAGCCTGCGTGATTTCGATACTTGTTTCGAGATATGTTCAGAAAATGATAGATTGTGTGAATATGTCAGTCCTAGGTCTAGCACAGATTTGAGTCTAGGGATTTTGTGGCCCTGAATTGCTAGGTCGAGTTCTAGGTTGGGACAGCCTATGCAGAGCCAGCCACACTTTTCGACATTAAACTCAAGTCTCCAGGTGTCACACCATATATCCATTTTTGTTAGTTCTTCATGTATGGAGTTCATAGTTGTACCGATATCTGTGTTTGTGCAGGTATATGTCACCTTTAAGTCATCTGCATACAGTATTGGCTTGCCTATACTAAAGCACTCACATATACTGTTTATGTATATAATGAAAAGAAGGGGTCCCAATACACTCCCCTGGATGACACCACTGCTAATCGGCCTAGGCCTGGAGGTCATCGAGCCAATTTTTGTTGTCTGATTTCTGTCACTGAGAAATGATTTTATCCAGTTGTGGAGGGGGTTGCGTATCCCTAGTGAGCATAGCCTGCTGACTAACAGACTATGTGGGACTCTGTCGAAGGCTTTCCTGATATCGAAATAGAGGATAATTACTAGTTCTCTCCTATCTCTTCTATAGGTGACTTCGTTGAAAAAGTCTATATGGCAAGTGACGCAAGATCTTTTCTTAAGGAACCCGTGTTGTGACTGGTTGATGAGTTTGTGTTTTAGAAAGTAGTCTGACATTTGGTCTTTGATTACTTTCTCCATGATCCTTGATATAACAGGTGTTATATTGATAGGCCTATAATTACATGCACTAGTTTTGGTCCCTCCTTTATGCTTAGGTAGTATATACGTGTTTTTCCAAGTTTCAGGGTAGGTCCCAGTCACTAGTGAGAGGGTGAATATTCTAAGTAATAGTACTATCATATCCGAGCCACCGTTTTTATAAATGATAGATGGTATATCATCTATCCCACAACTACCGTTAGCTTTTAGTGTCTTTACCGCTGATGCTATATTTTGCATATTAAAGTTGATTTCACCTAACTCGTAGTTATTTTTGCAGGTTATATCGAGGATTGGAGACGGATGCGCTTTGGTGTTATTGGAGAACCATTGGTTTAGGAGTTCACAAATAATCTGGGGATCATCATAAATTATACCTTCATGCTCCAAGTGGCCAACATTATTTTCTTTACCCTTGTTTAGTCGTTTTTGCAGGATCTTGCAGAGTTCCTGAGTTTTAGAGGTGCCCCCTAGGGCTTTATTTTCCTCGAGTTGTGCCTTCATTTTATGTCTCTGCTCAAGATTTTTAAATGTTTCATGTATCTGGTGTAATGCACTAAATTCTTTATATAAATAAAATTTCCTTTTCAATTTCCTTAGTTTTAATCGCGTTTTGCGGTCTATGAAAAGAGTTGGTGTCCTTAAGGCAGACTTTAGGGGTGCGATTGTATCTCTTACCGAACTGACCGTCTTGTAGAAGGTATCAAGTGTTACTTCTAAGTTATCATTGGTAAAGTATTCATCCCAGTCAGAGCTTCTCAAGAGCGTTGGTAGGAATTCCCAGTCGGCATTTCTATAGTCCCTATATTGATAGTGAACCGGGGAATTTTTAGGTGTGTGTTTAGTTATTAGTTGAAGAGGTAGGGTGCAGTACAGTATGTTGTGATCACTGTTGTCGAGTTTATCCCCCACCTCTATCGAGATCGGCTCTATTTTGTGGCAGAGGACTAAGTCGAGAATATTGTTATGTCGTGTTGGGAGGCGTACACACTGCTTCCATCCTCCTACATCTATAGCTTCTAGGAGCTCGTCATAGATTCTAGGTCCAGTGCAGGTATCCCAGTTCACTCCGGGGAGGTTAAAATCGCCACAAATTATTTTGTAGTCGAATTCCAGGGTAGGTACATGCTCTAGTATTTCTGCGATAACCGTATCAGTCGTTTTAGGGCTGCTGGGGGCTCTGTATATACATCCCACTAGAATTTTATTTTCATTCGTGTGGATGCTTATCCACTTAGATTCTGGGAGTTTGTCGATAGTTAGGTTTGTAAAAGTATTGGGGTCAGTAGATTTAGAAGCATATATTAGACACCCGCCTCCTCTTTTGTCCACTCTATCATTCCTGTGGATGTCATAGTTATCAATTATCAGCTTTGTGTCAGGTATATCATTAGTTAGCCAAGTTTCAGTTACCAGAATCAGTGTTGGCCGTCTCATGTATACCAAGCTGCGAAGGGAAGTTATTTTGTTAAGGAGAGATCGAGCATTTAAGAGCATAATTTTTAGAAAACCAGTTTTGTTGGGAGGGTAATTAGTGGGTTTTCTTGTTACTATCCCTAACTCCTGGTAGCCTATGTTATGTTCCGAGGGATTCTCAGATGAGACATTGTCAGTGTGTCTACTATTCCCTGAACAAATTGTGCTGCAAGAGGGGCTATTGTTTGCTGCAACCGAAAATAATCCTGTTGCATATATTGGTTTCTGGCCTCATTACGTGGGTATCTGGAATCATTCCTTGACATTAGATAATCTGTTTCACTATTCAGATTGTTATTTACAGGGCCGAAATAACCTGTTTCTAGGTTGTTTTGAGGGTAGTGCGTGCCAAGTCTCTCGCAGTTGTACATTTGTGGACTCATTTCGTGCATGTACATAGAAGGACCGTGATTCAATCTATACCCGTTATGCTGATGGGGATTTACATAGCTACTATGAGGGTCCGAGTATGCATTTCCATCCATATGGTACCTAGTGGTGTCCCGTCTAGTAGCCCATGTGTTTTGATTATTTATTCTGGGTCCCGTTCTCAGGTTATATGAGCCCATAGGCATATTACAACCTCGGCTATTACGGAAATCGTGGGTCTGACCCTGTTGTTTAATCAGCTCGGCTCCTCTTGCGTGTCTGCTAGAGTGTGATTTTGTGTGGATAGAGCTATATTTGCTGTTAGTTTTGACCTCGTATAGTCTGTCATCCACAGTTTGTCTACCACCCTTAGTTCGACGAAGAGCACTTCCACCCTCGTGTTCCGTCTCCTTTATGGGACCTGCCGTAATGCGTGCATAGCTCTTTTTTAGGCTTACATGCTGCTTGTTGGGCTTGTCACAAGGGAGATATGTGGACGCCTGTGGAGAGACCCTGGTTTTAGGGGACTTCTTTTCAGCTTTTACAAGGAGATTACCTTGCTTGGCCCTGGGTGCAGTGTTATCTGCCGATATTTGTAGGTTATCTGTCACAGAAGCATCTATGTCTACCTCATGTGCGGGGTCGGTAGATTTCCTAGGAGTGTTCTCAAGAACTTTGAGACTCATTCCAGTGTTACTGCCCTTTTTGGGTTTCCCTTCACCTTCGCGTGTCGCTTGTTCACCTAGTACAATGCAAGTGTCACTTTGTGCTTCAGTGTCCTTCGATACTTCGGCACTGATGCTATTCATGATTTGTGGTATAATCGTCTTCGTATCTAAGGTATTTTTAGCTACCTGTCGTTGGCTGGGGGTTTTGTCCGAGACTATCTTAACATTTTTGAATTTCGTGGTGGAGGCCAAAGTATCCCCAGATTTCCTAAATTGTTCTGCTATTATACAGCTGTCAAACCTGAAAAGTATGGGACATGTGCGGTTTAACTCTTTTTTATTTAGTCTGATACACTGACAGGGTGTACTTAAGAGGTTTGCAGCCCTTAACAAGGAGTGCTGAACCGACTTTATGGGCTCATTGTCAGGTATGTTGTACACTATGGCGTTCTGTTTAGAAGCAAGTCTCTTAACAACTTCGCTCGATAGATAGTCCATACCGTTCTCTAGCTCCTTAACATGTTCCATTTCAGCATCGGTTGGCTTAGTCTTCAATTTAAACAGTTTTAGGAAAGTGAGATCTCCCAGTTCTTTTTTAAGATGGAAGATTGTTTCTGGTACCGGGTCAAGTAGATTTAGTTTCGTCCTAAGGTCATTTATTTGTAGCTGCATGTCGTTTATGATAGAGACTAAGTTACTAATCTCTGCCTTTGCTGACAGGATATCTTCCACCTGTACTACAGGGGTTAGCATTATGTTGGAGGTATTTGTATTGGGTGAACTACTAATTATAGCTGATTTTAGGGGTGATAATACGTTACTAGATAAGCTTAAGCTATTTTCTAGATTACTAGAGTTCCTAAGAATACGTTTGTTAGAGTTTTTGCCCATTATTATTTGTGATAATATAGCAGAACTGAAAAATGAATATCAGCGAAAACACGTGCAAAAGTGTCACCAAATTCGAACGTACCGCGAGGTATATATATTCTCATTTTGTACATGAGGGACACCAGTTTACATGCATCATTAATCCGATAAATTACACATACGATTAGTAAGCATATTTAGTAATGATAATATAGGTGTCGGTGGCACAGTGGTTAGGACTCTCGCCGACCATGCACATGGTCTAGGGTTCGATCCCCTCCCGACGTACACCCGATATCTATGGTCGGCCTGCAAAATTTGGGCTACCGATATCCATGGTGAAAATGCCATACTTGTGCTGAAAATACGGTGTGGCATCAAGCTGTAATCAAAATAAAAAAATAAAAATAAGGTACATATTTATTCCTACAAATATAGGACACACAAGTTGTAAAGCCATGGATAAGTATTATTTTAGTTACATATTTAAATTACATGATTTACGGTTAAATAACATGGTTGCTGTCATTTTATCTCAGGTTTGTTGGAAAAATCGGATAACTGGTGATTCAATGGACCACATCAAGAAATATAGAGATGCTGAATTCGGATTAACAAAAAAACCAAGTATGCGTTGGATGGATCACAGATACTTGGGAAAATAAATAAAGCTTGAAGTCAATTCCCCCATAAAACAATAAAATGCGTCTTACAATAATATATTCCCACTTTATGCACATGAGGGACTCCAGTTGACAGGCATCATCAATATCATAATAATGCACACACGGAGTAAAAATGTTTACAATTTTTCACTAACACAAGATATAAATACAGAGGAAGATAATGGAACATTAACTGTAAGTACACTGTGCATAAGTTAAAACAGTTTATATGACATAATCCTAAGCACCATTATTGTTTGAATTTGTTGAAAATGAGCGAAACAACTGAGTGTTGCGTTACATTCGGTCGATATGGTGAGCTACTCACAAAAGTGTAAAAATGGCTTTAAAAAGTTGAGCGACTTTATTGCATATCCCCTCAATGACGTTTGCCTGCATGTTGCTATTG